CATAGGAATTCAAAATGATGGCAACCTCTGTACCAAATTATATGACAAGGTGATTTCGATTTTCCCATCATGATTTTCTCATTCATATCCACCAGCTCGAGCTTATGGCGTCTGCATTTACCAGCAGCTTTGTTCATTAAGAGGATGTTTCAAATTTCACGGAAAGACATTTTCGTACAGATAAACTTTTCAGTCAAGGTTTCACCATCAAAGGCCTGGTTAAGTGAATTCCAGAAAGGTTATGTTAGATATTCAGAGGAATTTACAAAATAGGGGAAAAATTATATTGGGAAATAAAAAAAATATATATGATTTGTCGCTTGTCAATATGATGCGCGATGTGATCCCATACTATGACCTTCACAGGGTGTTTTCTCACCTCCTCACTTACTGTCGCATATTTGAATTGATCGGGTGGTCTGGCTTGCATCTTTCCGAGTGTCATCTGAGTTGTAATATTAGCATCTTGTCAGGGTCTTTTGAAACGCGCTAAATTAATATGACTTCACACTAGAGTGCGTAATTAGCGATATTTGCTTTATACCACAATGAACTGTACTGACGTTGACCATGTGCCAAACTAGTCCCAGATTAAACATGCGTTATTTCCGTCTATCATGTATACACTCTATTTTCGTTTTACAAACAAAGATTCTCCGTTTTGGGCCGTGTATCAATGGGTGGTATACTTCAGCATTGTTTTGACGAGACCATTGTATCACAAATATTTTTCAGAGTCTAACCGAGCAAAAATATCCACAACCAATTTAGATATGATATATTTGTCTTCGCTCTGAACGGTTACAAACACACAATTGGTACATTTTTATATATTTACCCTTTACCCGACAAACCGGTCGTTAAGTTTTATCTGCCGTAGCTTCAAAGACTCGGTTTTATGCATACGTCCCAATGTAACCATTAAAAGAGCGATAACATAACTCGATAATCTCCACCCACGTGCCATGACGTAGACAGGCGTTACACTTCATTGATTCGCCGTCAATAAGCTAAATCTTAAAATCGGTCTCAATGCCTGCGCTTAATATAGAAAAATCAGTACTTGCAAAGTATTAATAGAATCAATAGGTGTTTATTCCTAGCCAGCCGGGATCCGGACATTGGGCTGTGCTTGAGGTAGGAACGTGTACCAGGAACGAGCGGGGCTAAGTTCCATTGTTTAACGGAGTCGGTGCCACCATGGCTCCCCCTTCCATCCACACACACTGTTTTTGTGCTGCTTGAAACTGTAGCAGTATCAGGAGCTAACTGAGAGCTTCTTATTGTAATTGCAGCCGCAGAAACACTTAACACCAATTAGTACCTCTGTTGATACAATCCAAAGATTAGTTGCAGTACCTAAGTGTTTCTGTCGTGTGTTAAAAAAGCCGATTGAATATTATTTTTCGTAATTATCGTGTTGCTTCCTTAAATGTTTGAGGGATGTTGGTTTCATGACGATCAGAACAAGATTCTAGAGGACACTCAGAGACTTCACGCAGTGTTATCATTATGTGGGAAATTAGAAACCTGTTGTATGGAAACAAGATACCTGGACCCTTTGTAGTTTGAGCAATGAAAGTAGCTCTATCAACTTGTTTTTAAACAATTCAATATATCACCACTGTAACTGTATTATACATTAACGGTATACTCTTGCGATATTCATGGTCCTATTGTTGTGTACTTTTAGTCATGATTGTGATATATGTGAGTAAGTCTGAAAGGCGATAAAAGCATAAAGTGATAGCCGATATTTGTCCTTTACCAAATACTCCCGCGAGAATAAATATTACAGCAAAGGATTTGTTTCGCTCCATCCCCGGACAAGCCACCAATTGGTGATGGCCCCCAGGAGAAAGCGATCTTAGGGCTAAGATGATAAAAACTCCTCCACCTTAACATTGGCTTACGATAGTCGTGAGCTAAGATCACTTTGTACAATGGTCTCCTGAGCATCACGGTTTGTCATCTCTATTTTCTTTTGTTTCCTTTTCTGCCTATATGACTTTTGAAAAAAACCGCTTGTTCGCAAGTTTTCGAGAGGAAACAATTTATAATTTCCCCAAACCTCAAGTTTTCGTTCCACATATGTGAAAACATCCTCCAACCTCCACTGTTAAACAGCATTATCTGTAATGTATCTTTAACTGTATCATAAGCATTTATAATTTATTTGGTGAAAAAATGATACATTTTTATTAAAAAATATAATTTGTATGGTCATACAGAGCAATAACCCTTCACGCCGGTTTCAGCACATTCTGTTTTCAGTCGGATTAATAGTAGTTATCACTTTGAGTAAGATGGAAAGTGATGTCAGTCAGGTCACCGTCTGTCAGCTCAGTATAAAGAGAAAGAACCAATACTGCGCCGGTCGTAGACGTTTTAATTTACCAATTTGGTCCAACCTCCGAGCACCGATGGTGCTGCTGGACCAAGGTTGTATTCAGGCGAAACGAAGACAAGGTTATCACCGGACTACAGTGTAAGAAATGCGTGTCGATCAGAACGTATCACCGTAACATGTTGAATGTGTGAAAAACAGCAGACATTTACAATTTTGAAAGCGATATTGAGTTTCAGCTGTCTACTGTTGACGGAAAGATATTACGTTGTTGGACGTTTGGGTGTGATCAACTGTGGAACTACGATAAACGTGACATGGCAAACACTCAAGATGACGAGCAAACGTGCTCAGATGAAAGTACAAAAAACCCAACAGATTTCTTTTGGAAAGATACTTTTGTAAAAGAACAACCTATTGGTCCATCCATAACATTAAAAACCCTGATGCAATGTAGTTGACAATAGGACATCCCGAAGAAAACGTTAAAAGCAGCTGATTCATGCCAAGAACTGTAGATCGCAACAAGCGAGTTGACACAAATAAGAAAATTTTGATATTGGAGGGGGCGGGGAGTCAGGAAACAAATGACTTACACAATTTGAGCATTATTTAGGGATTGGCCAGTTATGGGGATGTGGGTCATGAAAAATGTTACATAAAATCAGCGGTCGGGGGCGGCATCATAAGATACCCTCCAAAGACAAATCCCACCGCCCCCACCCTATCAGATTAGAGGCCCGTGAGATGAAAGTGAAATTTAAGTTATTTTCAATTGAACACATGATCGCGAAAGTTTTTATGTTTGTCAAAATAGTATTTTTTACGTATGAGAAGAATGCTGTGATGAGTTATATGTGTTTAGATGCATTTAAACAGAAGACAATTGCCATATTCTCCTTGTAATATTTGTTTGTTTGTTGTTTAAAGCCGCACTCAAATATATTCCAACTGTGTGGTAGCGGCCTCTAAATCATCGTGACCAGACATATCCTTGTTACAACTCACAGTACGATAAAAGCGAAAAAAAACCCTTTTCATAATCATCAGAAGCCTCTAGCAACCTATGGCTACATTATATTATGCTATAAGCATGTGTGCATGAATCACTATCAAGTAGCGATACAAAGTGTAGCGGAAAGGTGGGCGTGTCCTGCCCCACCGGTGGCACCCGTCACAAACACAAGTCAAAGAACGTAATGTGCATTGTGTTTGGCAGAAATTCTGCAACAGCCAACTGGGTTTTGAATTGTTAACTCCCAAGTCATTCTCTCCATGACACTATGCAATCATCTCGGCTAGATGTAATAAGTTCAGTCTTACATGACACCATGTAATCATTTCGGCTAGATACAATAAGTTCCATCTTACATGACATCATGTAATCATCTCGGCTGGATACAATACGTTCAATCTTACATGACACTATGTAATCATCTCGGCTAGATGCAATAAGTTCAATCTTACATGACACTATGTAATCATTTCGACTCGATGCAATACGTTCAATCTTACATGACACCATGTAATCATTTCGACTCCATGCAATACGTTCAATCTTACATGACACCATGTAATCTACTCGGCTAGATACAATACGTTCAATCTTACATGACACCATGTAATCTATTCGGCTAGATACAATAAGTTCAGTCTTACATGACACCATGTAATCATCTCGGCTAGATGCAATAAGTTCAATCTTACATGACACCATGTAATCATCTCGGCTGGATACAATAAGTTCAATCTTACATGACACTATGTAATCTATTCGGCTAGACACAATAAGTTCAATCTTACATGACCCCATATAATCCACTCGGCTAGATGCAATACGTTCAATCTTACATGACACCATGTAGTCATCTCGGCTAGATGAAATACGTTCAACCTTACATGACACCATGTAACCTATTCGGCTAGATACAATAAGTTCAATCTTACATGACACCATGTAATCTATTCGACTAGATGCAATAAGTTCAATCTTACATGACACCAAGTAATCATTTCGGCTCGATACAATAAGTTCAATCTTACTTGACACCATGTAATCTTTTCAGCTAGATGCAATAAGTTCATGTTAACATGTTCATTACCGGTCTGTATACAACTTGTGCTTCAAGAACATTGCCTTTACATTGAATGAGAAGTAGAATACTTAAGGCAAAGCCAGCAAAACACATCTATAAATATAAACTAGCAAGTAACAGTGTTGGTGAGTGCTGTACTTCACCTGCACGGTGCTTTACCGGGATTTATGCCATGCGCAGTGACCCCTTAACATGACACTCAGGTTCTCACTTGTCGGCACCATCGGTAAGCGGGATATTGCAGAGACAAAGATGGCTATATATATATTCCGCCTTCATCGCAGAGCTTTGGCTTGATTGTACAGGCATCAGCAATGCTTTTGTGACAAAATGAATTGTGTACAATATCCCTACTAGCTCTTGTGAAATAAATCACGTTGAGCTCCAATCACACAGGCCGGACTGTGTATCAACTGGTCGTTGTTGGAGGAGAGTTGTCGTGGGAGGGGATATGCGATGACGATGCGACAGAATAGTATACTGTTCCTCTAATGCCTCCTTTGAGAGTGGGTGGAGGGGAGGGGAGGGACGGGGGAGGGGGGCGACTGGACGGGTTATAAAGGAGAGGTCGGACATAAACACAAATAGCCTTAATTTTTGTTAGTCTTTTACACGTCTTCAAACAAAGCACTTCTAGCAGCCACATTGCAGAAACTTCAAAGCCTTCCATGGTCCTACTGTTTGGACCGTCCGAGTGATAGACCTGGCCGAAGACTGTTTAGAATCAAGTGTTTGTGTATATGAGGGTAGCTGTAGTCTCCAATGACTGATTGGACAAACAGACACACATAAGACACGCGTTTGCTGTTGCAATCGGAGAGAGGTCACACTTATATCGAGTATTGAAGGTAAGTAAATTGCAACCAAAGCTGTTTATGAAAGATTTCATACTGAATATTTGATTTAGGTTTTTTCATTCTTTATTTACGCTGAATTCTGATTTGTCGTTTGTTTTGGTATTCTATACAGTAAATACATTTCGACAATAGTTTTCTTCAAGTTACCAGCGTTGTCATCCTCCCCAAGTAATCTGTTTAGATTTCATCATAATATTTTTTTAATTTATGTTTTTTTCTGCTGTATGTTTTTTTATTATGCTTCACGTACACCTGGTGTCATCACTATTCGATGGTGATTAATATTCACATGCTCATGATAAAGTCGGAATCGTAAATACGATTTTGCTTTACCATGGAATTCTTATGGATATGGAAAGGGTTTTGTTGCTTTATCATCATCATCATCATCATCATCATCATCATCATCATTATTATTATTATTATTATTATTATTATTATTATTAACAAACCATCAGTAATAGTAAACATCTGGTCTAGCTTGGTGTGAACGATGATTTGTAAGCATAATTTCAAGAAAGTAATATAAATCACAGTACATGTCAACCGGCTTACATTCAGAATTTGTGACTATATACTGCCGGCAAACGAAAGTACACACTCATGTTTCACGGTGACTAGTTTGAAACAGACAAGAAATGGTTATTCGATTATGTTGGTTTTTTATAGGGGTATCGTAGTTGTGTTTTGGTCCTTAAGTTTTCAGCCTAATGACGTTTTGATACCGTTTTTAATTGTTCGGTCAAATCCAGTTTTCAAATGTATTTTTCCTTTGCGCGACAGTTTAGCTGTGTCGACGAATACTTTTTCTGGATGCTTATTTAATTATTATACTTAGTAGCTACACTTCTGATCAGTACTTTATAACGATACTTACATGTATAACGATGACGGTGTGTATCGTATATGTCGGATTTGGCAGTTAATGTGGCATTGCTGTAAACACATTCAAAGAGCTATGGATATATTTATTCTGAACCGGAACTAGAGTTTTGTGTTCATACATTTACCCGCGCCCGAAAAAAATGAACAAATGTAATTATAAAACACCGGAAATCTTGTATATTTCACGTTCATGTCTTTGGATATGCAACTTCGTGGACAATTCACATAGATGGGAAGCTGCTCTAGGTGAAAGTCATGAAACAAATGTGCCTCGAAGAACACCAGGCAAAACACGATGTAGCAGATTTTCTGTAACAAGTCGATGTTCCCTAGTCACCATTTACCCGGTCAATATGGCGTGCAGTGTAGAACTAGACACGTACTGCGCTGACCTCATACTGTACCGGACCTCACAGGTCACAAGTACTACACACCAATCGATGGGGTTTTAGTGTATGTGTACTTGACGCTGAAAGAGTGAGTCAGTGAGTGAGTGGGTGGGTGGGTGGGTGAGTGAGTGAGTGAGGAAGAGCATTTCAGTGACAGAAGTCGAAAATACTAGTGAGTGTGAATGAGTGAGTGAATGATTTTAATGAGGAAGAGCAGTACAAAGTGACAGGTCGAAAACACTAGTGAGTGAGTGAGTAAGTGAATGAGTGAGTGAGTGAGTGAGTGGGTGAGAGTGATTTTAATGAAGAGGAGCAGTACAAAGTGACAGAGGTCGAAACCACTAGTGAGTGAGTAATTAAGTGAGTGAGTGAGTGAGTGATTTTAATGAGGAAGAGCAGTACAAAGTGACGGAAGTCGAAAACACTAGTGAGTGAGTGAGTGAGTGATTTTAATGAGGAAGAGCAGTACAAAGTGACAGAGGTCAAAAACACTAGTGAGTGAGTGAGTGAGTGAGTGAGTGAGTGATTTTAATGAAGAGGAGCAGTACAAAGTGACAGAGGTCGTAATCACCAGTCAGTGAGTGAGTGATTAAGTGATTGAGTGAGTGAGTGATTTTAATGAAGGGGAGCAGTACAAAGTGACAGAGGTCGTAATCACCAGTCAGTGAGTGAGTGATTGATTGATTGAGTGAGTGAGTGATTTTAATGAAGGGGAGCAGTACAAAGTGACAGAGGTCGTAATCACCAGTCAGTGAGTGAGTGATTAAGTGATTGAGTGAGTGAGTGATTTTAATGAAGGGGAGCAGTACAAAGTGACAGAGGTCGTAATCACCAGTCAGTGAGTGAGTGATTAAGTGATTGAGTGAGTGAGTGATTTTAATGAAGGGGAGCAGTACAAAGTGACAGAGGTCGTAATCAGCAGTGAGTGAGTGAGTGAGTGATTGAGTGAGTGAGTGAGAGAGTGAGTTTAATGAGGAAGAGCAGTACAAAGTGACAGAGGTCGAAAACACTAGTTAGTGAGTGAGTGAGTGAGTGAGTGAATGATTTTAATGAGGAAGAGCAGTACAAAGTGACAGAGGTCGAAAACACTAGTGAGTGAGTGAGTGAGTGAGTGAGTGAGTGAGAGTGATTTTAATGAAGAGAAGCAGTACAAAGTGACAGAGATCGTAATCACCAGTGAGTGAGTTAGTAAGTGAGTGAGTGAGTTTAATGAGGAAGAGCAGTACAAAGTGACAGAGGTCATAATCACCAGTGAGTGAGTGAGTGAGTGAGTTAGTGAGTGAGGAAGAGCAATGGAAAGTGAGTGACAGAGGTCGTAATCACCAGTGAGTGAGTGAGTGGTTTTAATGAAGAGGAGCAGTACAAAGTGACAGAGGTCGTAATCACCAGTGAGTGAGTGAGTGAGTGAGTGATTGAGTGAGTGAGTGAGTGAGTGAGTGGTTTTAATGAAGAGGAGCAGTACAAAGTGACAGAGGTCGTAATCACCAGTGAGTAAGTGAGTGAGTGAGTGAGTGAGTGAGGAAGAGCAGTACAAAGTGACAGAGGTCGAAAACAAAAAGGCGAGTAAGTGAATGAGTGAGTGAGTGAGTGATTGAGTGAGTGAGTGGGTGAGAGTGATTTTAATGAGGAAGAGCAGTACAAAGTGACAGAGGTCGTAAACACTAGTGAGTGAGTGAGTGAGTGAGTGATTTTAATGAGTAAGAACAGTACAAAGTGACAGAGGTCGTAAACACTAGTGAGTGAGTGAGTGAGTGAGTGAGTCAGTGAAGAAAAGCAGTACAAAGTGACAGAGGTCATAGACATTACCAAGTTGGTTAAACCCACGCATAGGGTGCGAGTGCCACTTACTTTATAACGCGAACTAATTGAGAACTTAACTCTTTATTCTTGCTTATTGGACGGAGACGGGGGTGCCTCAACAGAAGACGATACAGATTAAACACAGTGCCGTTTAACTGAAATCATGATGATAGGATGATAGAACTCTGTTATTAAAAAAATAATTTTCAACACTATTTATAGCTGGATATGGAAACCACGATCTCGTGAAGATCAATGAATCTAACACACGTATTAAACTTTTACAGGGATAGGGCGTCTTGGGTTACTGGAAACTATTCAGAGGGAAATTGGCGATAGACTGCTTCTAGCAATATTTCCCCTCTTGTAGAGAATGATGAAGTTTCATTTCAATTGTAATTCTTCATCACTTCATTTTAAAAATTAAATTAGCTGTTGATATATCGCTTATTTACTCAACACAACAACACGTCATATCAAGAACCGTTCCAACATAGCTGGACACGAGGCATTCCAACACTACATAGCGAGAACCGAGGCACTACAACACTGCACAGCGAGAATCGAGGCACTACAATACTACATAGCGAGAACAGAGCCACCACAACACTATACAGCGAGAATCAAGGCACCACAAAACTACACAGCGAGAATCAAAGCACAACACTACAGAGCGAGAATCAAAGCACCAAAACACTACAAAGCGAGAATCAAAGCACCACAACACTACATAGCGAGAACCAAGTCACCACAACACTACACAGCGAGAATCAAGGCACAACTCTACATAGCGAGAACCGAGGCACCACAACACTATACAGCGAGAATCAAGGCACCACAAAACTACACAGCGAGAATCAAAGCACAACACTACAGAGCGAGAACCGAGGCATTACAACTCTACATAGCGAGAACCGAGGCAACACAACTCCATACAGCGAGAATCAAGGCACCATAAAACTACACAGCGAGAATCAAAGCACAACACTACATAGCGAGAACCGATGCACCACAACACTACAGGGCGTGAACAGAGGCATAACAACACTACATAGCGAGAACCGAGGTACCACAACAGTACATAGCGTGAACAGAGGCACCAAAACACTACATAGCGAGAACCGAAGCACCACAACACTACAGAGCGAGAACAGAGGCACCAAGACACTACATAGCGAGAACCGAAGCACGACAACACTACACAGCGAGAAACGTTGCACTACAACACTACATAGCGAGAACCGAAGCACCACAACACTACATAGCGAGAACCAAGTCACCACAACACTTCATAGCGAGAACAGAGGCACTACAACACTACAGAGCAAGAACCGAGGCACTACACCACTACATAGCGAGAACCGAGGCACCACAACACTACATAGCGAGAACAAAATCACCACAACACTACATAGCGAGAACAGAGGCACCACAACACTACACAGCGAGAACCGAGGCATTACAGCACCACATAGCGAGAACAGAGGCATTACAACACTACATAGCGAGAACAAAATCACCACAACACTACACAGAGAGAACCGAGGCACCACAATACTACACAGCGAGAACCGAGGCATTACAACACTACAAAGCGAGAACCGAGGCACTACAACACTACAAAGCGAGAACCGAGGCACTACAATACTACACAGCGAGAACCGAGGCACTACAATACTACGTAGCGAGACCAGAATCACTACAACACAACATAGCGAGAACCGAGGCACTACAACAAAGCGAGAACAGAACCACCACAACATAGCGAGAACCGAGGCATCACAACACCACATAGCGAGAACCGAAGCACCAACATGTTATCAGGATGTGGGGAAATAGCAATATTCCATCAATATCACGGCGGAGGACACCAGAAATAGGCATCAGACATAGGAATGTTAACTTTTACGATCAAACGCTTTGACCACAAGGCTACCTCACCGCCCCTCTAAATATTCACTCTTCATGTACACCGCCGAAGACCCGGGTTCAATTCCCGACATGGGTACAATGTGTGACGCCCATTTCGGGTGTCCCCCGCCGTGATATTGCTGGAATATTGCTAAAAGCGGCGTTAAACCAAACTCACTCACTCACTCCTCATGTACAGACAAATGGTGATTTCAGCCAAGATATTACCCTAGTGTATCTCTTAGCCTACCCCAGAGTGGGTTGAGACACAGTGCAACCTTTCATGATGTCAAGGTGGACAACCGCTCTGGTAATTAACAATAATGCAAAATGAATATATATGAATATATTTCAGAAATAAAGTCAAGCATCATCCGTTTCCTAGTAAATGATGATTAGGCCCCGAATTATTATCGATAGATAATGATGGCTAAAGCATAGTGAACAAACGTTATAATACACTGGCCAAAAAATGAAACGCATAACCGAATAATCAGTGTTTCATTACATGTTTAATGAAATAGGATTACACAATAGATAATGAAGATACAACAACCAAATTTTAATGTTCTAAGGGGCATCTGTGTCTGTGATGGCACTGTGCCAAAGTCAGTACCGGGTGCTACCACCACGAGCATCGATCACAGCTCTGCACCGCCTGGGCATGGACTGTATGAGTCGTCGAATCTGGCGTTGTGGAATCCTTCTCCACTCATCCTGCAATGCATGGTTCAGCTGTTGAAGCGTCTGTTGTTGAGGCTGTCGGCGTCGTACACGTCTGTTTCGCAGATCCCACAAATATTCAATGGGGTTTAGCTCAGGCGATTTGGAGGGCCATGGCAGCACAGTAACATTGTTGTGGGCAAGATAATCCATGGTAACACGTGCAGTATGCGGTCTTGCGTTGTCTTGCTGGAAAATCTGACGTTGAAGGATTTCATCACGGTAGCGTACAGCAGTTAAATTTCCCTGCTCGTGCACCAGATCTGTCCTACCATTCACGGATATGCCTTCCCACATCATGACACTTCCACCGCCGTATCGGTCGACTTCATGAATACAGTGTCGAGTGTAGCGTTCATTTTTCCGTCCGTAGGCACGCATCCTACCATCATGGCGATACAGCATGAACCGCGACTCATCACTGAACCATATCCTTCTCCAGTGCACTAGGGTCCATGGTCGAACATTTCTGCTCCATTGCAGACGTGCACGACGATGATGTTGCCGCAGAACGGGCGCTGTATATGGTCTCATTGGCATTATCCCATGCTGTCTTAGACGATTTCTGATGGTTTGCGCTGAAACTCTACGAAGACCAGGAACATTGTTACCTGTGTATGCTGCACTGATTGTCCGGTTGCGAAGATGCAACACCCGGATGAAGCGGCCCTGCGCCGCAGTTGTGACCCTGGGTCTTCCACTTCCTGGGTCTTCGGTCGATCTCTTGTAGAGTTGTGGAGTCTGTAGCGCTGCCACAGACGAGAAATGGTACTCTGTCTCACGTTAAAGTGCCTGGCTACTGATGTCTGACTTTCCACAGCTTCCAGACGTCCAATGGCTCTGTTTCCACAGTCTTCATTCAGTCTTGGCATCATGAGAGTCACGTATACAGAACATCGGAGAGTGATTCGCAGCAGGACTTCTAAATTTTTATACCCATCGGTATAAAGGTTTGGTAGCCGTATTTGCACGTGCAGCATACTTACAGCTTTTTCTCCATGCAATTTCTCCCAGTTTGGTTTCAAGATGCTGTATTTTGGCGACAAGTCACCAAATGTTGTGTTCGGGTGCAGTGAGTTAGTGTAAAGTCAATATTCACAGTTAGCAATGACATATATATTGAGTTCAAGCCTTCATCTTTAATAATAGTCAAGTTTGAAAAACAGATTTCAGCTATGCGTTTCTATTTTTGGCCAGTACACTTCGGGGTCAAGACATTCTCTAACACACAACATGCTTCTTAATTTGAGGGGTCACGGGTGGCCCAGTCGTCTAAGGCGCAACAATTCACTATGCAGAGGTTCGTCCCTTGGGCTCGCCAGAAACCTATGATTGTGGGTTCGAATCCCGGTTCGACCCGATTATGTTTTTAGGTTTGTCAGCACCATACCCGTGCTTGTGGGTTTCACCGAAGTGGTAAACGTCTGAGACCTGCATCACTTCGGGCTTTCCTCCAACATTAAGTTGACACGCCGTGATATAACTGGAATACTGTTAAAAGCGGCGTTAAACATAACTCACCGACTCACTCTTAATTTGATGAACCAAAGCACAACACTACATAGCGAGAACAGAGCCACCACAACAATACATAGCGAGAACCGAACCATCACAACACTACATATGAGAACCGAAGCCCCGAATTATTATCGCTAGTGAAATAACGTTAAAATAATTCGAGGTCAAGTGAGTGAGTGAGTGAGTGAGTGAGTTGGGTTTAACGCCGCTTTTAACAGTATTCCAGGCATATCGCGGCGTGTCAGTTTAATGTTGGAGGAAAGCCCGAAGTGATGCAGGTCTTAGACGTTTACCAGTTCGGTGAAACCCACGAGCACGGGTATGGTGCTGACAAACTTAGAAACATAATCGGGGCGAACCGGGATTCGAACCCACAATCATAGGTTTCTGGCGTGCCCAAGGGACGCAACTCTGCACAGCGAATCGCGGCGCCTAAGACGACTGAGCCACCCGTGCCCCCTCGAGGTCAAGCCATCATCTAATACATAATATGCTTCTAACTTTGATAACAAGGGAAAGGTCTCGGGGCGACACGATGTACACGTCATTTCGGTGTGTATCCTGATTCCTGTATATTTGGTGTGTGTGAAACATAAATTTGATCCATCTTTCCCGGGCTGATATATTTAGTATATTATTTTATTCAACCTGTATCCTATTTGACAAACAAGACGGGTATTACCGACAGTAAGTAAACTAAAATGGAGACTGTAATTATTACGTTCCATCATCTGAATGGACCAGTTTGTGGAAATGTAATAGTCATGCCAATTTATAGTTTAATAAAACTAATCATAATCCGATTCAGGCAAAAATGTAATCGACAAATAACATGTCTCGGCACTAACTGTTGTCTACCACGTGATGGCTCTCGCCATTGTGATCTGATGATAACAATTCGTGGCCTATGCATCATCTAATAGACAACAGATGATGCCAATAGATATCTCATTTTCATTAAAGTATCGCCTGTATTATTGATTATATATAAATATATAAATGGAACAGCCAATTTTTTTATTTCTGTTTTCTCGCTCTTCTTCAAAATAAACACACCAGACCTTGGGGCGAATAAAAGGTCGGACTGTGAGAACATGAGTGTTAATGACTTATTTGCGATTCCGATTGACGCACAATGGACTGTGGGGCCATTTTGGATTTATTTCAGTGCATGAGCTTTAATCACCTAAATGACCTCTGATGAAATCTCTTCATTAATTTCCCTAAGCTACTGGAATATATTCTTTTCTTTGGATAAACGAATACCTCCTTATTTGAGCATATTATATTGCTAGCATGTCACCGAAATTCTGGAAGCCTCCTCGCAAAACCCTGAAATCCTTTAATCGTTTATCCTGCAAATTGAACATGATCTCCAGTTCAAATTGATAACTATCGTACCACCATTAAAAAAAGTTTTCAACTTCATATGGAGTCCAAAATGATAAATCAGTAAGGTTTTATGACAATGTCTTTTGCACGTTATAATATGAATTAAAATGATACAAATCATCATCAACGTTAAGTCTTAAGTTGAATGTTTCAAAAATCGATTATTTTAATTTTGCGCAGGTGCAAAGCTGCCTGTGACCTTTGACCTGTAATGAAAGCTGTAGATTGCCTCCTCATCAGCGCCCTTTCGTGCCTCCTCCTCACACCGTCTACAGGATTCACTACAGGCCTGCTCGACATGTGAGTACGTGATGAGAAGTTATCACCATGCGGGCCCACGATGTAACACGTGGTGTCGACACTCCATTACAATCCATGCTTATTTGCTGTCGTTGGACCCTATATTGAGCTGACCGAGCTGACTTAACGAAACCTGATTACTTAAACTATGAACTTTATAATGCCTACTTATGACCGGTTGTTGTTTGTGAAACGTCCTTTGTAAATCAATGTTATGTTATGAATATTTATTGGTTCATTAATCCTATCCACATTCCAACAGATGTATTTAATATCTGGTATCTTTAAGACCTCTTTACCTCTTTGAAAAAGATAACTTCTATTTATTACGTCACAATTAAAATGTGACGTCACGTTGTAATAAAACCAACTTCACGACAGCTCTAGAATTTGGTGAAAATGTCAGAATAAAGGCATTTGGAATTTGAAAATTGGTCACGAAAACGTATGTCTTGAAGGGATAGTCGCTGATCTCACGAATGTGATATTTCCCCTGACGAAGTATTGTGTAAAAACGTCAAGCGAAACTGCAAATTGACCATACTTAAACGGATACAACTCTATTGGGTGTAGTTAGTAACACTAGACATCAGTGTTTTTTTTAAGTTTGGATGCCTCTTTTAAAAGTATTTCAGTCCGATAACCGCGTGTCAGATTAATGTGAGAGGAAAGCATGAAGTGAGGTACTACTTTGGTGAAACCCATGATTTCTGGAATTGTATTAACAAAGCAGGGAGCATAACCTGAGATTTGAACCCACGACCAGCGTATCCTGACACGGATAAGGGACGCTATTAACAGCAAGTTGTCTGGCTTCAGATCACTGGGTCTCATACACTCATAGGCACATGTAATTGTTTAAACATGTTTTAATTTTCAGTGATCCATTCATATGATTTTCATCGCTATTTTGTAAGTTACACTCGATGAATCTATTTCGGCGGAGAATCGAGACTTGTTATTCTCTTGCGTCGATGTTTTACAGTTAGCGACCAATATGTCATCATCATTGATGTACTCACTGTGTCAGTGCCTGAGCGGTGTTCGCATTCGTACGACTACAACAAATGCAAGAATCTACACTCTTTAATTAAACATGAATCAATGTTTGAATCAATTTATGAACTGATAGAAACTGACCAAAAGAAACTTTGCCAAAGTTTTAAATCACTCTAGTTTAAAAAATACAAAATACAGATGCATGAAGTAAAATGAATTGAAAAGATCAAAATCTCAACGAAATCTACATTTAAAACGACAGCCATACAGCCAAAGGGCACACACATCTAAATAAGCTCAATTGCAATGACACGTCACAATAATAGCGCGTATGACTACCCCTGCTGCAAGACACGTAAATACTCGGCGCACAGAAAAAGTCAGTCGTCTGATGACGTCACGTGGGATACGTCGCCATTCTTCTTGGAGGGCCTGGATCAGATGTTTTCGGTTGGTGTAAGGATGGGGTCTCTGTCGAACACGACGATCCGTGACATCCCAGAGGTGTTCTATGGGGGACATGTCTGGGGAGCGTGTTGGCCACGGCAGCACGTTGACGTTGTTGGCTGCAAGGAAGTTCTGTACGATTCGGGCTGCATGTGGTCTGGCGTTGTCATGCAGATAAAGGACACCCCGTGGCATCTGTTGTAGAAATCCGTGAACGGTGACCAGTGCCCCCAAATTCCCCCTCAAACCATAACACCCCCTACATAACTACATATAGGCAAAACATCAATTGCCTTCACAAATTGTTCCTACTTGCCTTTCGCGGCAATCCAACGGTCTGTCCGCTAGAGTAACTGCCCTTTATGAAAGGGAAGCTACTCTAACCCTAGTCTATGATGCGTCACGATTGTTGAGAGTCTGTCTCACCTGTCATAACATTACGAAGTGCAGACAGATGTACACACAGCGAAACAAGGTTACAAAATTAGGACATATTTCGGCCAAATGCAACTGTTTTAAATTGGGGAAAAGGTTCCAAGGCGCAGAGGTCTACACGCACAGATATGAAAATTGATCCTGCAAGGCTTGTGTCCTCGCTAAATTGTTTCGCAAGTTATATATCCAAAGTTGCCCAAACTTGTAAATGCCTTAGCTAGTTAGACACTGATGTTCAGTATATTAGACTATTCTTTTGATAATGATAGCAATTATCCCAGTAGTGTCTCCAGATTCCCGATGATTAATTCTGACTCAATCGCCAAATGACAAAGGCGACGTTGTGTTTGTTTGTACTTGACCTTTGTTATTTGCATCTCTATGCGCATATGATATCAACGGATATAGTATGTTATCCGTTGGCTTTATCCTGCCGAAAAACCTACCCATTATATGATAAAAACGTACATCAATATATGATTCATTGTGTGAATCAACGTAAATCAATCTGTGAATCAATGTGTGAATCATTATATGAATCAACGTACAAATCCATGTAGAAATTAATGAATCAATGTATGACTACACCCAAGAATCGATGGGTAAATCAATGTGTAAATCACCATATGAATGAAAGTACAGATCCATGTATTAATTAACGTATGGTACAATGTATGACTCGTTATAAGAATCGACGTATAAATCAATGTATGTGTCAAGTGCGACCTAGGCCGCTGAGAAATGACTGAATATGTTCTTCGCAACACATGTTGTTGAGAGGAGGTCAAGGTGACTGCATCGACTCCCAATATAAATACAGTAAACTACGGTTATAACGAACTCAAAGGGACTACTATTTTTAGTTCGTTTTAACCGTAGTTCGTTAGAAGCATATATACAGCATAACTACAGCAAATAGTCGGGACTAAAAAGTTAGTTCGTTATATCCGTCAGTTCGTTATAAGCGTGTTCGTTATAACCGTAGTTTACTGTATTTTCATTGTAATAATGTGAGGATAAGGCCATTGTTCCAAACTTTAGGCTACTATCTCTTCAGTTGCAGGATGAAACAAGATGTTCGTGTAACGGTCGAGCATATCTTTTCCTCTACCGACACCGCTTATACATATTCTTCCCCATCTTCTTGCATGGCTCGCTTCTACACGAGTAGATACTTACATCCTTCTGCAGGCGTAATACAGAAACCGATCTCGTATAAGGAAGGAGCAGAGTCCCAATTATACCGATAGATCTAGCGAACCGATCTTATCGAACTCAGTGTAACCTGAATTCAATTATCCACCGAGTCAACTCAGCAAACGTATGATTGACTGTGCCCGGCGTGCCATTCCCCCTGACTGCCCCCTGGTGAGAATAATGAGCACCGCCACCACGTGGATGTGCGGGGGTAAAACTGACCCCACAAGTAGCGAGATAACGCGGTATAATTAGCAAAATCTGCTGGCAACTCACTCCCAAACGAGGGGGGCAATGAACAGACTATGCTGCCAGGGCACAAACTGCAGCCTCTAATTAAAACACGGTATAGGTTTTGTACTTTCGCTCCCCCGCACGGGACGTCTGGTTAGACTCCGATTGAAGCTAACTGACTTCGGACCATTGGCTGAAGTCGTCTTCCATGCAAATGTCTGCCTCCACCTGTCATTATTCCTGTAAATAAAAGCGACAGAACCCTTCCATAATCGTAAGAAATCCCTGCTCAAAGCAAATTGTACGATTCCGACCATATCATAGGCATGTGTTTATGAACCAGTCTCAAATAGTGATGATACTAGGTGATCGCGAAGAGGTGAGCGTATCCTGTCCCATCGTTGGCACCCATCACAAACACATGCAAAGGCAAGTCAATTGTTCACCTGAAATAAAAACGGGGAGATATGGTACAAGTCAAAATAGGGAATACAATGGGACATAATTTTTGTCACTGATGCGTCAAATTTGGAAATTCCTCCACATGTCTACCAAAAATCTTTTCTATTGTGTAAAACATCATCTCTTCCCTGACGCATACAAAGGCACGTCAATGGTTCACCGAAAACAACACGGGAACACATGGTACAAGCCTATTTAATCACCCCTCCCTACAAACTGTACATAAAATAATAAATTTAGATTTAGAATATCTTCCGTTGCAAATATCTCGATGCGAATATACAATTACACACAACTACACAGATACATATATCGGTACATAACCAAACAGTGTATCCATGCACATGTACGTACACACATATATGCTTGAACGCAGAAGCGGGTACCATAGTCAAAGTTAAAGCCAAATATTTTAGGATCTTCTGTTGCGGTGATACTTTGAGTGAAATCATATACAGTATTTTTGGACTGAACATTAATCGGTAATTCATTCCACATTCGCACTGTGTCGGGTAAAAATGATTTGTAGGAGTTAAAAGTTCTAGCATTTACAGTCTGAAGCCGCGAACAAGTTCTTAAATATCAACGTGCGCCCGCTGAGAAATTAGGAGGAACAAGATTACATAGATAATCAGGGGCCAACTTCCTAACTATTTTGTAAAATGTTCTTAATTTATGAGATTGCCGTCTTTTGGATAAGGGTGTATGGTTAGTTTCAGAGTATATAGACTCGTGACTGGTACCACTAGTTGCTCCACATATTATCAGTGCGTCTTAATTTAGCCTTACCAATTTGTTGGAGTAATGACCTGTGATTGAGTGAGTGAGTGAATATGGTTTTACGCCGCTTTTAGCAATATTCCAGCAATATCACGGTGGGGGACAACACAAATGGGCTTCACACATTGTACCCATGTCGGGAATCGAGCCCGGGTGTTCGGCGTGACGAGCGAACGATTTAACCACTAGGCTACCCGACCGCCCCGACCTGTGATTGACACGGGTAGGTCTTGTGCAGGCCTTAGACGTTTACGACTCTGGTAAACCCACGAACACAGCCATTGTGCTGACTAACTTAGAAACGAAATGAGGGCGAATATGGGATTCGAACCCAAGGTTTATGGCACGCGTGAAGGACACACCACTGGCTAGCGAATTGCGGTATAAGACGACTGGGCAACCCGTGCCGCCAAGAGCAGCTGAGTAACATACAGATTAGGTATAAA